CTGAGCAGGGCCTATTACGTGTTGATACTATGCTGAGCGCTCTAAGGGCTACAGAAGCAATTAAGGTACAAAGCCTACATGGGAGCCCTGTTTCCCCCTCTCCAGTCCATGTTGTTGGGTGTGGAACATAATAGGAGGTACTCAATAATTGCTATTGAATCACTGAACCCTTCCTCCAGAAATTTAAATGGCTCCCCAATGTCTTCCATTAGAGGCCTTGCTTTGCCATCAGGCATTTGTAGCTTGTCAGAGTTTGGTCCCTACCTGTTTGTCCATTTTCCTCCCCCACTGTTGCTCAGGCTGCAGGCCCATTTACCATTTTCAGAACATGCCAATGTCTATGCCTTTGGCCAGCCTGGAATGAATGCCTTGCCTGGTAATTGTCTGTTGTTATTCTGATGATGGATTCTCCCAACCTCACTGACCCAAGCAGTCCTTTCTGTCCTTCTATACCCAGCTCAAATGTCATCTCTAGGAGCCTTCCGACGTACTCCCACCTCCAGTTAAGATGATTGTTCTCCTTCCTGTATTCCCAGGGTAAAAAAGACGACTTACAGAGTACTTGATATGTACCAGAAACTGTTCTAAGCCCTTTTCATTAGTTTCTTCATTAGTTTATTTAATCCTCGCCACAGGTTCAACAGAGTGGTTCTGCAGTATTGTTAGCTGTGTTTTACAACTAAAGTAACTGAAGCAATAAAGATTAAGTAGCTTTCCAAAGGTTTCGTAGCTAGTAGGTGTCAGAACCAAAATTGGAACCCAGAAGTGCAGTTGCATCATGCCTTAACCACAAACTACCCTGTCTCTCCCGATATTATATTGGTTATACCAAGTGCTGTTGATTGCCCTTTGTGGCTGTGTTTCTGCATTATGAGCCTCTATGGGCATGGCTATTTCTTTTCCATATCAGTACCCTCATAGCCCTTAAAAGTATTTTACAAGTAGTGGGTGCTCAGTACTTGAAGTACACTAAGTCCATTTCCTGCTTTTGATGCACTGGAAGGGACCCTTTCTTGTAGGGATGGCTGGTCCAGCAGTAGTGTTCAAGGTAAGTAAGATTCAGCTCTCCTCGAAGTTCAGAACACAGGGCTGAGCCAGCTGCCGTGGGAACCCCTGGGAATAAACTACCTTACCTGCCTCTCAGATACTGTCCAGCCTGGGCTGCTCTGGGTATTATGTACCTGAGTATCAGGAAACCATGAAGGTCAGCAACCTCAAATGCTCAGAGAGATAAGCACCACTGCCTTGCCCTTACTCAATGGGACATTTTCCCACGGGGAGATTCCTGAGAGTGAATGACTAAAGGGAAGTAAACTACTGGGTCAACCTATCGGATGCATTCAGGGGTTACTTCGTGCTTCTGTAAAGAAATTCAGAGTACTTTTTAGACCTTTGGGATGTTCTCTTTGCTGCTCCTGAAGCAGTCCTGTGGGTCTAGGAAGGATTGATCTCTCTCTCTCGCTCTCTCGCTCTCTCGCGCGCTCTCTCTCTCTCTCTCTCTCTCTCTCTCTCTCTCTCTCTCTCTGTGTGTGTGTGTGTGTGTCTGATATAGTTGCTCTCAATCTTTATTATTGCTATGACTACTACGATTTTTCATTTAAAAACTTACACATACTTGGAACAGGTGTAGACATCGCAGAAATCCCACTTTCCAAAGATCACCACCACTACCACCAGCAGCAGCTGGCTGGGTTTCCTTAAAGACATTTTTTTCCCCCCACAAATCTGTACAAATTATCAGATTGTATTTAAAAAACAAACATGGGGTTATTGTTAACATTTTTCCCCCAGCACCTTTCTTTTTTTCACATGACAGTACATTTGACCATCTTATTAGGAAGGGTCTGATCCTGTTCCAAGCTGGGTTGGAACTGCATCTGTATAGTCAGTCCATCTGTGGACCAGCACTGATTACAGAATGCAAGCACCACGTGGAATCCATGCCTTACTGCTTCCATAAAAGCACTTCTAATGACAAGAGTAAACACTCTGCACAAGGGCCTGGGTGTAGCCACAAGCACCTGCTGCACCTGCCAGATAGCTTTGAAGTCAAATGTTTATCTTACATGTTCATTTTATTTTAATTCATTATCTGTCACCAGGTAAAACTGATAGTTTAGAGACATGCATTCTCTTTATCCTGCGTCTTTGCGTACCGTAGGTTATACGTGGCTCGGGGAGACTTACAGGAAGTGTGTTGAGGAATATCGGAGTTCTGAGTAGACAAATAAAGAATTGTCTCAATCACGGGGAAGGGACTTCTCATTCTGAGTGATTGGACCCACGAGGTCCCTTCTGGGCCTTGTCTTTTCTTCAGGTTTTTGGTTTATTCTGAAAATTATTGCCATTAGGGATTACCCCTGTAGGGCAATCAGCCTAAGAAAAGGTATCACTTGCAGTACTAATACCCATTAGATCCATTGACCAAATTGCTTAGTATTATAGAAAGCAGAGCCGGGAAGCCAGTTAAGCCTATATCATTTTGGAGCTTGTAGGATGATGATAATATCTAGATAATAATAAAAATATCTAACACTGATAGAGGCTTACTGTGTGCCAGGCATCTTCCTTTACCTGCCTTTTACCCTTGAGATTCAGAGAGATTAAATAGTTTGCTCATAATCAACACAGCCTAGTAGGTGTTGGAACCTGTGTATGTGTGTGTGCACCTGTGTAGGTATGTACATGTGTGCGCATACTCTGTGTGTGGGTGTGGGTGCGGGTGTGTGTGGTGGTGCAGGAGAAGAGCCCTTCCTTTTCTCTGCAAAATTGTGCTGTGGCTCAGATCCTGCCTACCAGACAAGATTATTGAGCATCACAGACTTGGGTTACCTGCCTGGTGTGGGTTACACTCTGATGTGTGTGCAAATGCCAGCTGTTTTCAACCAGTCCAAGTGGCCTGCGGTCAAAGTGTTACCTTTCTCTGGAGGCCCTCGAATTCCCATCAGTGTCATGGATTGTCAGCTAAGAGAGCTACGTGCTGGGACGGCTTGGTTCCTCTTTGGCCAGCATGACTGGCGATGAGCTTTGAAGGTTTATTGCAAAGTTGGCCATGTGTCAGGCCACGTCTCACCCTGGGGTCACTGGACTCAAAGCTTGCCCAGAGGAGAGTGAGGATGAAGAAGGATCTTGAAACCAAATCACATGGCTGAAAGAACTGGGGTTGTTCAGTGCAGAAGAAAGGAGGTTCAGGCCTGTGAAGAGTCAAAGGGAATTCTGTGGCAGTCCCCGAGGGCACCCTGGGTCCATTAGGTAGGAGTTCTGAGGAAGAACTTGTAAGTTCATTATCAGGAAGCTAGAGGTGTCAGGTAGCAAAATGGGGTACCTCAGAGGGAGGCAGTGGTGTGTGTGGAAGCACTGATGTGTCCCAAATGTGCTCTCACCTGTACATGGAAAATGTTACCTTCAGGCTGGGTGTCCACCTGCCAGGAGCACTGTTGGGTTAGGGGGTTCCTTCGTAGGCTGGCAGGTTGGCATTCAAAGGTCTTTTACAATCATATCCAACGCTTGGCTTCTTGGATGCAGGGTACTTTTGCCCAGAAGCTGCCCTGAGGACCAGTGCAGATCTGTGACCCTGCAAACCAGGTTGGGGGGTGTATTAGTTTGCTAGGGTTGCTGCAAAAAGGTACCACAAGCCAGGTGACTTAAGCAGCAGCAATGTATTGTCTCACGGTTGTGGAGACCGGAAGTCCAAAATCAAGGTGTCAACAGGATTGGTTCCTTAGGGGGGCTGTGAGGGAAGGGTCTGTTCCAGGCCCTTCTCCTTCGCATGCTCACATGGTGTTCTTCTTGTATGCGTGTCTGTCTCCCAGTTTCCCCGTTATATAAGGACACCAGTTATTTGGGATTAGGACACACCCTGATGACCTCATTTTAACTTCTGTAACTTCTATAAAAACTATTTTCAAATAAACTCACGTTCTGAGGTGCTAGGGGTTAGGACTTCAACATAATACATTTTAGGGGGACACAGTTCAACCCATAACAGGGACAAGCAGTGCTCTCATGAGTGCAGTTGGCTGTGGGCTGGGCACTCTGGGTGCTGCTTTGGCCCTCTGGGGTTTTGTTGTTGTTTTAATGGTAGGATCACTTCTCTCTGGAAAATGTCACAGGAGGACCAGGCTGTGACAATAGGATGAAATAAGCATCATGTGGCATTAAGTACATTGTCATTGTTGTGCAACCATCACCACCGTCCGTCTCCAGAATCTTTTCATCTTTTGGAACTGAAACTCCATACCCATTAAAGGATAACTCAGCCCCTGGCAACCGCCATTCTGCTCTCTGTCTCTATGAATTTGACTACTCTAGGGACCTCATGTAAGTGGAAGCATATTGGATTTGTCCTTTTGTGCCTGCCTTATTTCACTGAGCATAACGTCCTCAAGTTTCCTCCATGTTGTAGCATGTGTCAGATTTCTCTTCCTTTACAAGGCTGTATAATATTCTGTTCTATGTACGTAACACATTTTATTCATTCATGCATTGATGGACATTTGGGATGTTTCTACCTTTTGGCTGTTGTGAATAATGCTGCTGTGAACATGGGTATATCGACTTAAAAAAATGTTGTGATTGAACATGTACATGTCTGTTATAGGAAAAGCCAACACAGAGTCAAGTAGAAAGCACCCTCCTACCCCATCACCACTGTGTATAGTTTGGCCTCTATCCTTCTAGCTGTATTTTGGCCTATGGATGTGAAATCAGATCGTTCTGTACTGTCACGGAACATGAGCCATTTAAAAAAAAATGTTTGAACTCTGTGAAACTATTCAGTAGTTTCCCAAACAAGGAAAACATAAAACATAAGCAGTGAGGTGATGAGTGCCTGTGATGGGCCAGGCAAAGGCTGGTCTTACCGCAGCGTCCCCTGTGAGATTGGTACCGTCATCACCATTGCTAAGTAGGGGAAAGAGGCTCTGAGAAGCCCCAGGTCATCTGGCTGCTGCAATTGCAAATGCAGGTTCATAACAGGCCTCTTCTCTCGTCTCTCTTAGGCAAATGTCTGCAGACTACGGCTGACCGTACCTCCTGAGAGTCCAGTGTCTGAGTCAAGTGGAAAGAAGGTTGAAAGAAGAGAGAAGGTAAGCCATCTCTGAAGCGAAGCCCTGACTGGTTCCCATCTTTGTACTCTTTTTCATTTTAACCCCTTTTCCTGCCATCCTCCATCCAGGCTATTCACAGAGCCTGCATGTCAGCAGCTGTGTGATGAAAAGCCCTCTTGCACTTGCCCCCCATCTGCCATCTTCCCAGAAGTCAGGCTGCTTTGCTGCCTCCTGTCCCTGCTCTTGCTTCTTGGTGAATGTAGGCTCTGTGTGGCCTTGAGGCTCCAGGAGTGCTGGCCTTAGTGACGGGTGCTGTGGCTGGGAACGTGTTTTTCCTGAAAGAGCCTCATCCCGTTGAGTCAAAGGGCCCATTGTGAGCTGCCCCTGAGCCTTTCTCTGTGGCTGGAGCTGGAGGCCCAGCTCACATGGTGGAGGGGTTGCCTGGAGAGGAACAGCCCAGCAGCAGCTCTGCCGCGGCAAGGGCACCCGGCTGCAGGGAGGAGTTGCGCAGGCGTTTTTGTGCCAGCTGCTGTGCTACACGCTGGGCCACAAAGATAGCTCTGACCTTGGCCTTGCCTTGAGAAACTCGTAGTTTTGCAGGTGAGACAGACGTATAAGTAAACCAAGATGATGTGATCGTTCGAGTGTTAGGCTCCAGAAGTGTAAGCAGGGCTCTGGGAACATGGAGAGTTGGGCCATATCAAAGGACCCAGAAGCCTGTTTGAAAGGGCGCTCACTGGTTAAAATGGAAAAATTTCAACATTAAAAAGAATTAATGACAGAGATGAGCCGTGGCACATTGAATAATAAAAAAACCTCATGGATTTATAGTAATAATCAGAGAGAGAGATTCAGAGAGAGATTATAAAAGGGAAAGCTGTTCTTTATATGACATCGGCTGATAAATTTAGAAAATCTCTGCTTTGTAACCCCCAGGTCAGGTCATCAATGAATGCAAATACTAATTGGTGGAAGATTACTGTGGAGCAGTATATTCATGTGAGCTCAAGAGTATTAGTACCTCACTGATCACTTACTGACTCTAAAGGTACAATATGCCACAAGGTGGTAGCCAGTAGCTCTACCAGGTGATCCGATTCAGCATTACCAATAGTGGGCAGCCTGGTATTATGTGACTTCTGATGTGATACAGTTCAGAAGTAAACAATGTTACCAGTAATATTCATGCCAAACTTGTTTAATTGAATCTAGTAATAAGGACACAGAAAAATCCAAAATGTGGGACTGTCTACAAAAAATTAGCCAGGCTCCCTTAATAAATTCAATGTTATTTAAGAAAAATGAGAATCTATTGGAGATAAAAGGGACTAGAGAGACTTAATATCATTATAACGCATTAAACCTTAATTAAATCCTGGATCCAAAAAAAAATCTATAAAAGATATATTGGGATAACTATACAGTTTTGAATATGAACCCCTATATTACATATTATTGAATGAATAGTACTTTTCTTACTTGTGATACTGGTACATTGGTTACGTAGTTCATTCTTCCAACTTCTCTGTACCTTTGAGCATTCTCCAAAGAAAAAGTTTGCGGGTAAAATCTCAGAACCAGAGAGAGCGGGAGTGGTCAGGCTTTGGTGGCCTGTGTTGCTGGGGGAAGGGGTCCCCTTCTGCCCTCACTAATCCCCTCCCTGTCGTTCCTTTCAAAGCTGATAGATTGGTCAGAGAAGTGGCCCTGGGCTGTGCCTAGGGGTTCATGGGCAGCTTAGCACATGGGGAATCAGAACGAGTGCTTGCTGGAGAAAGGGGCCCAGGCTGCGGTGAGTGACAGGACAAGGGCCCCATGTGCATGGTAGACACAGTGGGAAATTTGGTCTTTGGGAGTTATACCCGCGCCGCACGCCTGAGGAGATGTTTGTGAGGGGCTTCTGAGCGCTGACACTGGGACAGTGGATGATGTGAGGCACCGGAGGGCATGTCACTGCACAAGAATAGTCAAGTATTCCCGAAGAAAGAGGCAATGTGTTCTGTGTCACAGGTGCATTGGTGACTATGTTGTGTACCGATTTGCCTATTGGTCCTGAACAGTGCTTTTCAAACTTTTAAAAGCAATTAGACCCTCCTTTTTTTTTCTTTGTTTTTTTTTTTTTGTTCAAAATGTCATCCTGAACCAGGATGTAATCCAGGTGAAAGTGGTGCTGGTGGGGGACAAAGTCCTTCCAGTCTCCCTGCACCCTACACCTTCCTGCCTGGGAACTCAAGGGGCGTGCGGAGAAATGCTGGGGGAGAGGATGCGCCAGGATGCTTCTTAGACTGGGGGGACCAGGTGTGCAGCCTGAGTGCCCATCTTTTCTCACTGCAGAAGAACTGGGGTAGAGAGGAGGAGGGTGCAGCTGGCTGTTACCCCAGAACCGAAGTCCTTGGGTGGTGGCTGCACTTGAAGGTCCTGGTGGTAACTGTGAGGCTGTTCTGGTTGATTTCGTCACCATGTCCTAGCCAGGTGCCTGGTCTTGAGTCATTGGGAGCCAGAGGCAGGCACCAGCAAGGAGGCCCTGGGGCTGCCAGCTCCTCTGATGTGCCTTCGGTGTGGCTGCCCCTCTCTGTGACATCATACGTAGCCCACAAAACCGCAAGATGCCGGGAACGCTGGTGAAGTGACTTGGGTTCCTTTGGAGGGGTCTGCGGCGTGCAAAGGCGGGGTTTGGAGCTCGCTTGGATGTAGAAGCTGTAAATGGCCCAGTGGGTTGCTGATAAAGTGAAACTTCTCAGAGGGTTTCCAGGGCCCTGTTAGAGCTTCAGCCGGCTGAGGGCGGGACTGGGCCTTGTTCTTTTTCACAGTCATGGAGGATGCTTAGTGTCTTTTGAGGACCTAAGGATGCCATGGGGCAGCTGGCCACACACAGACACCACTGCCAGCTGGGCCATTCTGTCTACTGGCCCCAAATCATCAGGAAGAGGAATTACAGTGGAGCAGGGGGAAGGGTGTAGCAGGTGGTACAGGTTGCCCAGCTTCAGGATGGGGTGTTTGGAGGCTTCTGGAGGTAATTACAACAGAGGCAGCGTCTTTCTCTGGAGTTATGGGTTCCTTGGGTGGATGTGGACGGCTTCCTGCTCCTAAGGCAGATGCCCAGCTGCCTGCTTCTCTTTGTCTTTCTCTTAAGGAAGATCCCACCTGCCCCGAGACTGCTTTCCCCAGTCCACGGATGGCTCCCAGACACTTTGTTTCTCTGCTGTTAGTTTCCTCATCTTTCAAGTAGGCACATTGAAGTCTAGCTGCAGAGAGTAACTGAGCTAGTATATGCAAAGGTCCCACCACAGTGTCTGGCCTGTAGCACTGATTAGAGAGGCGATGACTTAATGCCAAATCGCTTCCCCTTTTTTGTCAAACCCAGTGGCCCTGGTTCTTCGCTTTTCTCCCCTGTCCCCCGTGGAGTAGTCATTCTCCTTCCTGAAACTGCATCTCCTCCTCCCTTTTGGGCTGTGCCTGCTGCATCTTTTCTGATGTTATTATGTCCTCCTCTGAGCATCCCTCTGCCAATACACCCGGGCCTTGCCTCCTCTCTCTGCACAAACCTTACCTCAGAGAACTCCTCCATACACAGGTTGGCCGCTTTCGGGAGGATGCACACCCTGTACATCAGCTTTGCTCTCCCGAGTCCTGTCCTGCTGGTGGCTGAGTTGGTGTTCATTGTTCTCTGCATGGTGTTACTTTTATGGACAGATATTTTATTGCTGTATGACCATTATTTTAGTATTTAAAAGTATGAAATCTGGATCATTTATGAGTCTCTGCCCAGCCACACTCAGTTTATCCACGTCTCCTCACCCTTCAAGACCCTACTGAAGGCCCGCTTCCCCACGACCTTCCTGGACTGCCTGTGCTTGGGTGATTATCCCCTCTCTTGAGCTGCAGGACACCCAGGCTACCCTCTCCCTTGGCACCTAGCCATCTGCTGCTAAGCACTCCACATATGTATACATACATATTCCTGCCACATCCGTGTACAACTTGTCCATATATACACACACTTAGAAATGTGCAGTCTTTTCATTTTGCCCATAGTTGGCGTTTAGTGTGTGACTGTGGATTATGGTGATTCAGTTTTGTGTTAGTTTCCTTGGGCTGCCATAAAAAAGTTGCCCAAACTGGGGGGCTTAAACAGCAGAAATTTATGGCGTCCCAGTCTTGGAGGCTGAAAGTCCAGGATCACGGTATCCGCAGGGCTCTGCTCTCTCTGAGGGCTCCAGGGAAGAATGCTTCCTTGCCTCTTTCAGCTTCTGGCGGCTGTTGGCAATCCCTGGCTGTGGCAGCATCACTCCAGCTTTACATGCTGTTCTCCTTGTGTGTGTTTGTCTCTGAATCCAATTTGTCCTCTTTTTGTAAGGACACTAGTCATATAGGATTAGGTCTTAACTCCAGTGACCCCTTCTTAACTTGACCCTGTCTCCAAATAAGGCCAAATTCTGAGGTACTGGGGAAGGGGGCTCCAACGTGCTCTCTATTTGCAGGACACTGTTCAACCCATGATAAGTTTCTTAGTGGAATATTATCACCTTAAATTGTATTAACAACTCGGGCAAATGAGCAATGGACTTTTATTTGTATATTAAACGTCATTAATTATATGGAAGAGGAAATGCTGATTAGTTTGTAGGCACAAATTTCGTGTTGAGGGATTGATGACATGTTTATTAAATTGTTGAACATTAAAATTAAAATTGGTAGTAGATAATTGTGGTTTTTTTTGCAATATGCGGCCTCTCACTGTTGTGGCCTCTCCCGTTGCGGAGCACAGGCTCTGTACGTGCAGGCTCAGCGGCCATGGCTCACGGGCCCAGCCGCTCTGTGGCACGTGGGATCTTCCCGGACCGGGGCACGAACCCATGTCCCCTGCATCGGCAGGCGGACTCCCAACCATTGCGCCACCAGGGAAGCCCGGTAGTAGATAATTTTGAAATTAAACCCCTGTCATTTTCAAAGAACTTTGTGAATGTACGTATCCATATTCCTATCCAAATCTATGTGCAAATATTCTTAGGCACACACAGATACACACACATACACAGAGA